AGTGCAAAAAATATTGCAGCAGCAGACAATTTTGAAAACAAGTATGAATATCTTTGATTAAGGCACCTCAAGTCAACAATTGTTAAAAATAAATAGGAACAACCACCAGTATTGTGTTCGGATCTTTCTGAACAGTATTATTGCATGTTCGTGTCAGTCTTTTGCATGAGTCATTGTTTAGTACTAGAGTATGTACAAGATTTGACTTATTACCTTCATTAGATTACCCTGAGTCATGTGGGATAACAAATAGATATGTACACCAGTTTATAGTCAGTGTCAATGTATTACCAAATAGAATGTTTAGAATAAATGCCATTCTTTCTAATTTTTCGCTTTTTTTTTTATTTTTATTTTTTTATATATATATTTTTATTTCATGACCATGCGGCGGCTGGGTGCAATCTGTGCATGTGCTGGCAAACAATTGGTTATTGCTTGGCTGCTCTACATTGTTTACTGCTGTTGTTGCCCTGGCTGCGTAGTTCATGTGGTGTCCCCTATCCCTGGTGCTCAAGCTGCTAATGTGCCATACTACAATGCACAGAATCAGGTAGAATTATTAATTTTACCTACATTTTGTTTTTGTTGTTTTATAAGACTTAACTATCTGTTCGTTCATGTTTTGTTTATAAGAATTAATTAACCAGCTTTCTTCTTTAAATTATGACATTTTGAAATGGTCTTAATAAAAGAAGAAAATCTATTTCCATTTTGTACATGTGAAACAAGCTTGCTGGTTGGTTAGTTGCCCATAAAGTATTACTCGGCCTAACATTATAGTAGTAATTGTATGATTTACAACAACACTGCATGCCTGTTCATGATTGTAAAATTTTATTTTGAAATATTGGGGAACAAGAAATAGCTGTTGTTTATATGCATATTTTCATCTGGGCCTCAATGAGACGAATGTGATAACATTATGAATTATTTTATTTACAACCACTCTGCACATATTCATATTTGTTTTTCAAGATTCTGTGTACACTGCATGCATGTATGTCACTATATGGTTCTGACAGTGGGCATTATGAAGGTTACTAGATTTTCATTTGTTAGTCATGGTCTTCATTTCAGTAACAATAACTTGCTTCCATAATCCATATTGCATAAAATGGGTATCTTGAAATACAATATTATTTAAACAATTTTTAATCTTATTACATTGTAATATATTGTACTAATCATGAAAGATTAGGTTAGTTTTCCTCGGGATATTGTTAGTCATGATTGCTATTGATCATTTCTATGTCCCTGGATAGGTCACACATCCCTGGGTATGTAAAGCTAGATTTTTGGTATGAAACTGGTTTGTGTCACACCTTTCCCAAAGTAAATAATAAACTTTGTAATCTGTCTATAAAATATCAGGAGGTATACCCTCTCAGGGTAGGGTGGGGTGTTTTAGGGGTGTCATACAACTGATATAATTTGTAGTTGGTTAGTTTCTGTCAACTATACACTCATGCTCCTATATTAATCTAGATTTTTACCTGTTTCCAGTTGGTCGAAACTTTACCTGTCTGTCGTGACTTCAAAGCCGGCAACTGCAAGCGCCCAAACTGTCGTTATGTGCATTTAACTGAAGGTGAGTCAGCAGTTTTCTCTGGAGGGAATGTTTAACTTCGGTCTCAACCTTGCATGGCATAGAGCAGCTGATCAGGTATGCATGATGCTTATCTGAATTATTTTTTGATCAGATGAATAGTAGTGAATATTGTTCCCCCCTAGATCTACATGTATCAGCTTTTATAAACTTATGCACAGGCCCTATAACTCTATACTGAATATTGAAATACCGGTAGGTAAGAAAATATTTCATTGAGGACTTGTTTCCTATTTCAGTTCAGTAAGATCCAAACAAAAGAACCACATGAAACCTAAGTGGCTCATTAATTACATGCTGTTGATATCATTATTCATCAACAGTATAAACAATGGGTTCCAGGCTTTCAATTCGTTTTTTTTTTTTTACTAGCATATTTCATGAAATACATATGTGACTACATTTCTACAGAGAATGTAGAAGCATTTTAATTTGCATGCTCATTTTCATCTTTCCCTCCTTCCACGGCTGTCCTGAGCTAGCAGCACCTAACCAATCACGTGTTCACTGTGGTATAGGACCTTACTAGTATTAATGATTATTATAATTTCTTTTGTTTAGATTATGTAGAAGTGATAGACGGCAAGGTGACCCTTTGTCGATATGCTGCTCAAGGCAGGTGCACACGTCCAAAGTGTAAATTTTATCATTTACCAACCAGTACTAATGTTGCCATGACTACAATGCCAGTACCGGTGACAACAACCATGACAGTGTGATATTTTTTTTTTTTTTTACTTTTTTCTATTCATTGGAATTTTTTTTCTTCTCTTGTGCTATCTGTAGATCATGTAGAGGTAGTTGATGGGAAAGTGACTGTATGCCGCGACGCTGCCAAAGGCAAGTGCACCCGCCCCATGTGCAAATATTACCACATCCCAGCTCAATTATTGGCTCTCCAAGCTACTGAAATGAACCGCCCGGGTTGCTAGGCCAGCTATGCCATACAGCCAAGCTCTGGTGCCTGCTGCAATGGGGTTTCCGCCACAGCATGAATGCCGCAGATCCTTTTTTCGCTTGCCACGCAGGATAAGAGAGGAATGCTTTGCTTCGCATGGCTTTTGTCAGCTGCTCCGTACTACTACTGGATTTGATTTTCTTCCCGTCACATGTTTCCTTTTGGGGGGGAGTGTAGGGTAGGTAAAATAAGAGTGGGGATTATAATTACTTGTAATAATCAGAGGTTTAAGTACAAGCTTGAAAAGTTAAATTCTTTCCTTTTTTTCATCTCTTATTATTGTACTGGTACAATTACAGGGGGAAAAACAAAAGGCATAGAAATTTATAGATTGTTTCCAATTATTTGTTGTTACTGCTAGTTAAAACTAGCATTTTTGTGTGTATTTAGGTGTGTTGTCCCTCTTAAAAGAGGGTTTATATAAGTACGTTTTTAAGTCGTCTTTTTTTTTTACAATTTTTGTTCTAGGATGTTAAAAGTTATTTTGAACCTATAGAGTTTTATATTGTTTTATTTGTTTATCAACATTATTCTTAAAGTTGAAAAAAATCTTGTGGAAAAACTTGAAAGATATTTGAGGCTCACCATGTGCAATGGTGTCCTAGTGGTTATGGAAAGAAAAAGTACATGAGTTTTGTTTTTGTTCTGGACTTTTAGAGTAGCTATACTAACTGCCATCCAAAAACATGGAGTTTTAGACAAATACATATTACAACTTATTATGTAAAGGTGAATGTACTTACTTATTTGCAAGGAAACTTGGATGGCATGGCTGCCAAATAATATTGTTGTCATGGCAACTGCTTATAGCATGAAAGAATCACTCTCATCCAATGCTGCTTTCTTGCTTTTTAATCTGCTTTAGTGCTGCATTTTTTGCTTTTAAAGAAGAGAAAAATAATACATTTTCTTATTTTAAAAATAAACTGTATATTAAAGTTTGTTTTAAACGAGGAAATGACAAATAATTTACAATGTAATTGTAATTAATTACCAGACATGGTGATAAAGTTTGAATTTTAACCAAAAAAGGAAGTTTTGAAAGGGATTTACAGATGCAAGATTTTCTGGTCGTGTCTTCTTTTTTTAAAAAAAAATACTATTAACAGGATGTTATCATGTTATATCATAATGAAGTCATTTATGCATGGATTCTAATGGCACATAGTAACTATTATGGGTTGGAGAAGTTTAAAAAATAAATAATTCTTAAAAAAAAATGATTTCTAAAAGCTGAGCCACTACCTAGTTTACAATATTTCTATGGTCTGTGACCAACAGCATTAATATGTTCATCTATAACTTCCTGAGAAAAAAAATCTACAAATATCTGATTGTAATTGAAAGGTGACACTTTATCAATAGATGTCTGTAGTCCAATAGAGTATAAAAATGGCTGGTATTTTTGGCTGCATTAAGTATATTATAATTACAGTTTATGACATGCCTCTCGCAGTAGAGAATGCTAGCTTTAAAGGAGCACCCTCTACAGGCAGGAGGCAGCCTAAATATTCCATATATGGTCATGTACTTTGTCTGCTTTTAATTAGGCCCTGAGAGTAATGAATTTTTTCAAAATTAAACATAATTTAGTTTGGTGAAGAGTTTTAAAAAATTTCTTCTCTAAATTATAGGTCAAAGGTAATGATGTAATCATAATTACCAGTCCATATACGGAAGAATGCGCCTTATAAGGAACTCAAATATTACAATAAACTCGTATAGTTTGGCAAGTGGGCAATTTCTATTACATATATAATTAGAAAGTAGAATACTAAGCTGTCCATGTGAAGAAAAAAAAAGTGCAAGAATACGAAGCAATATTTATTTTAAAAAGAAAATGTATAAATAATGTGATACCAGCAGCCAGCAAAAATACCAGCTATTAATACAATACAATACAATATAATTAAGTATATTTCCATTGTCTTTCTATTCTAATTAATAAGAAACGAAAAAAAAAAAAATTAAATATTTTGAAATCTCTTTGAAGGGTGCTTGACTGTATACAGTTCTAATATATGTCATGTTGGTCAGTTGAGACACATTTAAAAAACCGGACATTTTGAATTAGTGAGGATTTTACACATGAAGGTGCCGTGCCAAGATTGCCAAGATTTACAAAACCTTGATTTCAGCTCTATGGTATATCCAGTACACTAATAGCTTTGATATGCGTCTCAACTGGCATGAACCCCTCCCCCAATTTTGAGGTGTTCACAAATTGTGTACAATTACAACGATAACAGACGATCTGTCTGTCTACAATTCCAGTTAGTAGTGCTTAAATTCATTGTGATGTGTGTCTATTTTTTTCATTTTTCTGGTCCAATATTTTGTTTTTCTTACCAAGTATAGATTCAAGTTAAACTTAGTTCCGTGCATCAATGTTATCACCACTTATGCTCAACACCTTGACTTTGAAATGAACGTCTTTTAGAATTAGTCATCATAGTGTATCCATTGGTTTAAGTTATAATACAGCTAATCCGACTTAATACCATTGTATCTATGACTTAAAGCGTAATCCTTGTTGCTATAGTAACCGCCAATTTATTCAAATGTACTTCTCCTAGTCACATACTATCACTACTTATTACTCACACAAGTAACTGTTGTGTTAATCACTTGCATACAGAATCTTGCCAGTTCTGAGATGGACAATCTGTCGCGAAGACACTAAACTGAATCCAATCAATGTTTACACAGAGAATACACTTTAAGCAAGAGGATACATATTGTTTTTGACATTGCGTGATACAGTGTAGTTGTTAGTCAGTTCTGCTTTCAATTGAGTGTGCATTTAATGTACTCTGGTCAATGCTATGACAACAAATAAATCAGAGTTAAAACATACTATAAGCGTGTCTGTACTTGTTTTATTCTCTATCAGCACTACTGTGCAAGTCTGATTCTGAATGACCTTCTTTGGCGTTTTGCCTAGATTGCACCTATCAGTATTGTTGTTGGGAGGCAATAGACTACTGTCTGGTATTCTCATTGCTTAGTTACCATATACAAGAAAGTGGGGTTGATCAATGATGATACACAATGGTCATTAGGAATGTTTTAGATGGATATATTTTACAATTTATGCTTCAGTTTTGTACCCAACATATTAATTTGAGAATCTAGGAATCTAGGCTACCTTTGAAAGTTTGCAAAATGTTTGAAATATGGAAAATTTCATACATGGCCAATGAAACAGAACAAAATATTTGTGATATCTGAAAGATAAACATTATTATTCATATGAATCTGAATATTGTGAAAACATTTCTATAAATTGACATATATTTATCATACGAGTTTCTAGGTTGTAAATAATTTTCCATTATATTAGAAGGTTATCTCCCATGATGGATACATGTGTAGTAGTGCATAACTTGAATACAGTTAAAGTACAAAATACTCTGGTTGTCATTACGTTAAGTATTCATTCATGTTGATTCTTTAAGAGGGGCCTGGGTTGACAGTATATCAATTCAGGTATGTGTGCGAACTGGATTTTACCTCTTCCTTACCCTGGGTACATAACTACTATTACGCTGGTTGCACACATCTCTACAAATAAATGTGACTGCTAATATTTTGGTTATTTACCATGTCAATTTATTTGCATCCTACTAAAGATTGAGATGGTTGAACTTTTCTTGCTTTGGCAACTATCTGTTGATATCACATGAAAAAAACGTCTAAATGTCATCCACTTCAGACCTTCAGATGGCAACCATTTTGGTCGCCATGGCAATCAACCTTACTGATTGGCAATTAAATAATACCTAGGTCACCATTGGGCCATAATAATAATAATAATAATAATAATAATAATAATAATAATAATAATAATAATAATAATAACTTTATTGCATCCTTAGAAATACAATGTTTCTATCAGTTAATAGCAATAAAGATTAGTTGTAATAACTACTAGTACAAAAAGAAAGTTAGTTGTTAAAAAAGATAAAGCAAGTGTTACATATCAAATGGCATTTTTATTTCTTGATTGAAATGCATTATGAATTTAGTTGCCAATTTTTTTATATTATTACATCATCTTTTGAAGTCATCAAGAAATTAAATTTCTGGAGATCATCCTGGGTTTCTTGTGGAAATATAATGTCTTGTATGATTTGTTGGCGTATTACTTTATATTGTGGAAATTTCATAACAAAGTGCAGTTCATCTTCTATTTCATTCTGTGAACATTGTTTGCAAATTCTATTTTCAGTAGGTATTTTTGGTTGCATATGTCTCCCTTTTTCTATTGCTAAATTGTGATTACTAATTCGAAATGAAAACATCTGGCTGGTGACAAAATTTTCTATAAAACATATTATACAGCACTTTATATATTCAGATTAGCTGTGAACTAAATATATTGGCCAATCAAGATCATATCCACCCACTGACCATGTAGATAAACTATTAGTAACTGTTCCATATATGACTGGAAAGTGGATATAACCAGTAGAATGGTAGTTATGTACCTAAACAAGCTATACTTAGCCATACAATATTTGCTTGATTTGGCAGAAAACCATTGTGTCAAATACATGAATATCCCATCTTCCAAGACAAATCTACATGTTTGAATATAGTTTTTAAAATATATGTAGTATATTGTTGGTCTCAGTGACTGGTGTCATCTATATTGTTGGTGGTCTCAGTGACTGGTGTCATCATCAGTTCATAAGGTTGAAGGTAAGATGCTATTTTGGCTAATTTATAATATATTTTGTAAGCAACTTATAAGCAACATTAAGTGTAGAATTCCAGTTTATGTATGCTTCCCTCAGCAGGGTGTCTTATAACTTGCATTGAACACTGACTTTTGGTAAGTCGGGGAGTATGAAGTACTACAAAAAATTGGGCTAAAATTAGAAATATATCAGGTATATCAAGTGATATCAGGCATGGCGAAAAAAAATACATGGGTATAATGCACATGAAAAATCATGAGATTTGCAAATTCTAGAAATATTAACCCAATTCAAGGGAATGTGTGATCGAACGAAAAATGTATGTATTGTTTAAAAGTTTTCGCCTCAGGACGTACTTGCTAGTATTCTTGTGAGTTTGAAGAGTGTTTTTGTCTACTTAAATATAATTGGGTATGCACAACCATGATCATGCAAAAGTAAATCAGACTGACAGATGATGTACATGTAATTCCCCCTGCCATGCAGAAAATGTTATTATAATATGAAAACAGGTGACATTTTTTTTGCAGTGCCATGCAACAAATATAGCAATGTTAATGTCCCTAATTATTCTTTTGCCTTTATATAAGCAAGAAAAAGAATTATTTCTAGATTTGTTTTGCATATTTTAGTTTTCACAGTGTATAGAAGGTTGAAATGACACAACAATTTCAATGACAATTGAATTCAACCAGCCAATAAACGATCACATTGTACAATGACAGTATTTTAAGATTGCTTAGAGGTGTACCACTGTACCATGTATTTCCGTAAGCTCTGTGCAAGCTGCTCTGGAATGCGAGTTGAGCCAGTGACAACAGCTAATCATGGAAACAGCACAAACTCAACTTAGAAGTAAACCTGAGCAACCAACTTTATATATGTTGCACACAGTGCACACTTACACTGTTCAGGAGCGCCCACATCTAGTTTTTGGCCTTCATTGTCACTAGGATGGTTACCATCCCGGATGGCCACCCAAAGAAACTTGTTCATTCCATCTTTATGATTATTTATAAATTTCACAATTCAAAATAAAACAAGGTTTCTATTGGCAATGAAATAAAGTTGAAACGTTTTCAAATGTGTTGTTGTGCACTACAACCATTGATTGGCTGTTTGGATTCAACTGCCTTTCGAATTTTTGAATATTTATAATATAGATGAAAAGGAACAGGTTGGTTGTGCCAATAGTAAATAAAACATTTAATGAGAAGTAAATAACATATTTAAATTGGACGTCCATGACGAAACCTGTACACGTCAGTCACACAGTCGTCTTGTAATCATTTTGCCTCGCAATGCAAAATAGTCCAGATTTTACTCAGAAACTAGATGGGAGACGCACCAGAGAGATGCATTTGTGTCCACACTCAGCTTCGTGGGGTGTATCCGAATGTTTTTTTTTTTTTTTTCTAACGTTCACAATCTCATCATTCAAAAGTTAACGTACATAAGAATCTGAAATTATCTAATGTTTGTGTGAACACAGCTATGGTATTGTATGCAGTGAAATAGGCGAGCGTGAGTGTAGTTTTTTGAAAATGTCGTCTGCTACAATATTGCTCGATCAAGCTGACTGTCATTCTGTTTTTGTTGATACAAAAGTCAAAACAAAAGTTATTGAAAAAAGTGTTCGAAACTCTTATTTCCCACTTACCCAAGCCTGACCATTTCGTCGATATATGTCATTTCTTGGTGAATTTCCAATGCAGGGCATGCATGAGTGAAACCGGTCAACAAATACCCAGTGTGATGTCTTTACAATCAAACCCGGTTCTAGCGGCCGAATATTCAGATACTTTCGTTTACTGAGTTTGTCGTAGAGGGGGCAAAGGTAATATTTCGATAAATTTATTAGATATCGTTCGACCAGCCATGTTGTCGACACGCGAAATTGGGATGCTGTTTTTGCGGGTTGGAGCACTTTCTGGTGCTACTGCTGTCGCACTTGGTGCTTATGGTGCACATGGTAAGAAATACAACAACCCATTATCCCACTTTCCCAACTGCGACACGAACCAGAAGCACAGTTTAATCGTGTATCCGTCAAAAAGGTCATGAAGGAAGGTCAGGTGACAATATTATGGAAAGCAACACGTCCGAATGTCAGCGAAGGGACTGATTTGTTTATTAAACTACAGCTAGTATTTAACTTGTTGTAATATAGATGTGAACAATATTTCATAGTGGAATTGTTGTTAAATTTGTAGTGAAACTTTTACCGGACAAAATGTGGCTTGACGTTCGATGATTATATCCACAAATGTTTCAAATCGTTCAACTACATCTTATCGTTAAATATATACCCAGATATTACTGTATTGTAATACCGTAATAATACTATGTAAAGTATGGATCATATTCTGTTAGTCCTGACTGGGTCTTATCCCCCAAATACAAGTTTAGGAACAGCGCCACCAAGTGACCCATAACAACAATGAGTTTGATCGTAGAAATGTTTGTTTTGAAATTGTATTTTATTTCTAGCATTCAAGACGAATACACAAGACGAACACAAAAAACATGTAAGCATAACTATTTTGTGTTCCGTACTAAAATTGCCATATTAGAGTGCTTCAATTTTTTAATGTCATCTACAAGGATTATGGTGAGTATGAGCATGTGTTCTCAACCATTTTCATTTTTGTGATAGACATTTTTGTGAATTTTTCATACAGGAAAAATAGCCTAAACAAAAATACACTGTACTTATATATATATAGCTATAAAAAACATAATTTTGTAAATCATGGAGTATTAAATTCTCAATCAGGAATTCTTTGTTACTACTTTGTTAGATGTCTGTTGTGATATTAATAAAGTGTTTTGCTTTTTCAAGGTGTTTGATACAGCGAACCGATATCATTTCTTACATAGTATGGTTTTGTTAGCTGTTCCACTTGTCAGGAAACCATTAATAGTAAGTAGAAATGATAGCTGCTGGGATAATGCGTAATTTTAAATACAATGTAGTTATTGAAATTATATTTTGTGTAGCGATTCATATTCATTCATTCATACTTTAGATATTCTCATCACCGTATTATATACATTGTTTATTTATGATTTCTGCTGGCATGGTGATGAATCAGTGATATGCAGAATTAATAGAAACCTTGGAAAATTTGAAACTAATTATATCCGTTGGATTCAGCAGTAGTCTTATACAGATTTTCACCACTTTTTAGTGTCAAATTTTGCCATTTAGCAGAGATCAGAGATACGCATTTTCCGATTCGAACATGCATGTTCCTGAAAAAAACTGTAAAAGTGTCATGAGTGAAACTGTACAAATTGAATATATTTGGGAGAAGGACGAGTACACTTCAAGTATATCATGATGTTGATAAACATGCTTTCCTTGATATCAAAATAGGATTTTATAATTTTAGGCTTGAATGAAGTTTTCTTCAAGACAGATTTCTACTATGGAAAGCTGTTTATTCTGTCTGTCGACCAAATGAACATTTTGCATTTTTTTTTTTTAATTTTGATGTTTATTTCGAATCAAATGGACATAATGTCAAATTGACTACAGTTGTGAAAAATTATATAAAAAATGAATTAAGGTTTATTTTGTATAAGGCGGCAAAAATTGATTTTGGCATCCAAAGGAGTTGATAATGGTGATCGGCAATTTTGAGAATTTGAAAAATACATATATATTATATAGTCTGGGAATTTCTGATGGAAACTTATTAGCAAATACTTGATATGCTCAATCATAAATAAATACAGGATTCTTATGTATTTATTTTTTACAGGCTGGCAGTTTGTTGAGTCTTGGATTGTTGATGTTTTCTGGATCGTGTTATGTCTACGCAATACATGATGTTGATAGTATAAGAAAAGTAACTCCATTTGGGGGCACTCTTCTCATAGCGGGATGGATAGCTATGGCACTGTAAAATAGTGTTCATTATTATGAAAAAAATACAGAGTCAGATTTTATCATTCTGTGTCACTCTGTTTAATGTCAAAAATATGTAGAATCAGCAACATGTTATACTGAGTCACATGAAGGCCTGAATTTGTTTTATATGAAATTTTTAAATGGTGATTGAATAAAACTTGACCAAACACAAACCCAATTCGGATGAATACCACCCATATAGAACTCCACTGCGGTCAGTTAACCTTTAACCTCTCCTTCGACACTTGCTCGCTTTTGAAATTTATGATGTTCTGTTCCAAATCAAAATGGTATCAGTTTTTGAATTCTTTTTAATTTATTTCAGCAAATGAATCCAAGTTTCTCAGCAAATGAAAGCATTTTGAATTGAATGAAGTGTGAGGATCTTTCAGAATAAATGTTTTATGAATATTTATATATTCATGAATCTTAGTGTAATTGATTATATGTGGTAAGAATTTCTTTCATTGGATTTTTAGGTGTGGAATTATTGGAAAAATATGGTTTTTACTGGATTTTCTCTAATACAATAATAACAAACTGATAAAAAGAGACTGTTTTTTTATTTATACTTCAAAATTTCTTTGTTGTAGAGGCTGTCTCACATTTTGCATGCATACACAGTGGTTGTGTATATTTGGATATTTTAACTTTCTCAGAGTGTGTGTGTAATACTTTTAATAATACTTGTACATGTAATACCTTTACAATATGGCGTAATGTGTATGCTAGCAAAACTCTAGTGCATAGGCTCTATTTAAGTAAACATGTATCAAATTTCTGTTATTTGATATACTAGTACTTAACAAACTAGATCACAATTTTTTGCAACCTAGGGTTAGGACCATTTGGATTTGTGACACTTATCATATGCATCAATGAACAATAATATTGCAAGATCTGCCTTAGTCAGGCACCAGTTGTAAAATATGTTATAAAATTTGCCAAAAGTGATTTATATTTCATATGTAAATCTTTTATTTAGACTTGGTTCTATCAAAATTAGTTTTTGTTTTTTGAATTATGGCATCAGTAACAAATGACTATCATTTTGATTAGGATCAATAATTGAAAACCAACTTATCTCAACAAATTCATATATCATTCAATATCTTTTAGTAAAATGTAAAATTGAAGCTCAGTCAACTTAATACCATGGTTATGCAAATTGTTCTTATTGGATATGTTCAATTTGCATATTCATGTAAATCCCATTTCCAGTACAGATTATATTTAATTAGTTGAGTATCAATTCCACATTATTTTATCGTCAATAATATAAGTGACATTTAGGAGTCAATCTGTTCAATAGTTATATAACACAATTTCCAATAATTTTACCTAACTATAATAAATCATGGTAATCAAATGTATCATATTTAGGCTTAAAACTCTCCAATTGTGGCAAATATTTATGCAAATTATTGAATTTGCATAAACATTTCACCGTTTTTATTTTATTGTATGGGTCAGACAGATTAAGTGTTCCTTAGCCCATCCCTAATTGATCTTGAATTGCAAGATAGTCGACATGTATGTAAGTAAAGTGTACATAAATCCATCAATTGCTGGCAAATAATTATTCAACTAATCAAATTTGCATAATATCAATATGTATTACATTTAATAATGCATAGTTAGATATATACAGTTTTGTTCAGTAAGATAATGCTTTCACTCAATAAATCTACTTTCTGAAATTTGTTTCCATAATGGTAACATTATGTAAGGCATTTTTAATAGCATGAGCTGGATCACTGTATCACTAAAGATACTGGGATCATTAAAGCTGGCTCACTGTATCACTAAAGATATTGGGTCATTAAAGCTGGCTCACTGTATCACTAAAGATATTGGGGTCATTAAAGCTGTCTCACTTTATCACTAAAGATATTGGGATCATTAAAGCTGGCTCACTGTATCACTAAAGATATTCAGTCATTAAAGCTGGCTCACTGTATCACTAAAGATATTGGGGTCATTAAAGCTGTCTCACTGCATCACTAAAGATATTGGGGTCATTAAAGCTGTCTCACTGCATCACTAAAGATATTGGGGTCATTTAAGCTGTCTCTCTTTATCACTAAGGATATTGGGATCATTAAAGCTGGCTCACTGTATCACTAATGATATTGTGCTCATTAAAGCTGGCTC